ATGGAGGAGTGGACACTGGGAAGAGGTAACTATGGGGAGGAAGTGGGAGGGGAGCTGTTGTATTGTAAATTTTGGTCAATGACATGAGACAAAATATATGTGAACTGCTGTATGAAAAGTGAATTTACTCTGTAAATCTTCACCCAAATCAAAATAAAATTAAAAAACAAAAACAAAAACATTTCCTTCTACTTTCAATTGTTTTATAATGTAACTTTTTGATCCTTAATTCTTTAAGCCTTTGACATTTATTTTATTACATCGTGTGAGATAAAGGAGCTCTGGTGGTGTAGTGGTTAAGACATTGGCTGCTAACCAACAGCGGTTTTGCAGAAGAAAGAAGGGTCAGTTTGCTTCTGTAAAGATTTACAGCCTTGGAAAACCATGGGAGGTCACTATGAGTTGGAGTTAACTCAGTAGATGTGAGCATGGATAAGAGATAAATGTCCAGATTAATTTATTTTATGATTATTTATTCCATGATCATTCCCTAATCCACCAGTTTGTGTTACCTACTTTGTCACATATGAAAACTATATATTTCATGATTTACTTAATGATATTCTCTTCTTTTGAAGTAAGGAGCCCTGATGGCACAGTATTTAAAGCACTTGGCTGCTAACCAAAAGATCAATAGTTCAAACCCACCTGTTGCTCTGCAGGAGAAAGATGTGGCAGGAGAAATATATGGCAGTCTGCCTCTGTAAAGAATTATAGCCTTGGAAACCCTATGGGGCAGTTCTACTCTGTCAAAAGAGTTTCTATGAGTCATAATAAAGTCCACAGCTGTGGGATGGGTTTTGGTTTTGGTCTTTTGTATTACCTGTTATGACATGTACCTGTCACAAGCCAGTTGAAATATCATAACTTTGTCAAATATTTTGCTGTGTGACAAGTTAATTCCTCATCATGATGGGTAGCATTATGAGAACTTTCAAAGGTAAGGCAGCTATGATAGGTAAAACATGGAATCACATAGATACCATTAAATGTTCTTTTAAATGGTCTAAATATTATACAATAAAATGCAAATGTTTACCCCCCCTTTCCCCCTTTTAAAAAATTGAGGTGAAATTAGCATAACATAAGATTATTCATTGTAAAGGGCACAAATCAATGGCGTTTAGTACATTCACACTGTTGTACATATGTATGCAGGTAGTTGTATGTACAGTTCATACACAGGGAAAAGAAATGATAGAAATTGTCTCTGAGGAAGCCCAGACATTGTATATTTAAGACAAAGGCCTTAAGTCAACCATTTTAAATAGTAATAGCAATATTATTCATAATAGCCAAAATAGTTGGAAATAGTTGGAAACAACTCAAATGTTTATCAATGAATGATTGTATAGGCAAAATGTAATATATCCATATTTTCAGCCACATACAAGAATGAAGTACAATACATACTACAACCTGGATGAACCTTGGAAACATAATGCTAAGTGAAAAGCTAGACACAAAGGGTCATATATTGTATGAGTCCATTTGTATGAAATATCCATCATAGGCAAATTCAGAGACAGAAAGCAGTAGTTGCCAAGGCTGGGGGTGGGGAGAAGAGGAACAGAGACTAGCTGTTTAAAGATACAGGATTTATTTTGGGGGTGACAAAAAACCTCTAGAAATAACTAATGATGATGATTGCAAAACACCATAGAGGTACTAAAAGCCACTGCATCATGCTTTTTAAATGGTGAATTTTATGTGAATATTTCTCAATTAATATTCCATAGCTCACTGCCTTTAAGTATTATACTAAAATTCGCATGTATCTTCAATTTGAAAAGACATGATTTTAATTTAAGGAAATTAAGTATCTGGAGGCTCTTTCAACTAAGAAGCAGCTTAAAAAACCAGTTAATAACTTTGATATTTCTTAATATCAAGAGGAGGAAGTAGATACATACACAAAACAATAAAAAGAGAGATTCTACAACTTTATATGGAAAAATTCTAAGTGATTTAGATAATATTTCATCTAATTTCCCAAGTAAACTTAATGTAATATGTGTCTTAAATGTTGTTGTTGTTATGTGCCCTTGAGTTGGACCTGACTCATAGTGACCCCTCCTTGGGTTTCCGAGGCAGTATCACTATGGAAGTAGATTGCTCCATCTTACTTCTGAGGAGTGGCTGGTGGGTTTGAACAGCTAGCCTTCTGATTAGCAGTCAAGTGCCTTAGACACTACACTACCAGAGTAGTTCCCATTATTTAAGGCACTGTCTTTTCACTGTGTTTATTTATTTATTGCATTTTTTAAAAATCTTTATTTTATTTTATTTTTTTTTTATCGTGCATTAGGTACAAACTTACAGAGCAGAGTTTGTTTTACATTCAACATTTCATGTACATTTGGTTTCACTCCCCAAATACTATCCCCAACCCTAACCACCCACTTCCCAGTAACCATCCCTCACCCCCACCCTGTGCTCCTCATATTAGTGCACTTCTGTGTGTCCTGCATTTCCTCTGTGAGAATGTTGCCCCTCTGGTGCCCTGTGGTCAATCGCTTCAAGGGATGCATCTCTATAGAGTATGTGGGTACATCACCCTGGGTTGAGTGGTCTGTGACTTATCACTGTATTTCATTGCCTGAAAAAAAAAAAAAAATGCAAGTACTGTATGTATGTGTGTTTTTATTTGTTTTGGTTTTAAGCAAGATATAAATTAATCACTATAAGAATCCTTAGGGAGAATGCTAGTTTATCAATAAAATCCTGAAATCTTGATGCATCTGAATTTTTAAAATATTCTATTCATTTAGTTATTCATCACCCCCTTCTTAGGCTTTTATACAGAAAAACCTGAGACTATCAAACTATGTGTGGGGATTGGACTTAATGTTACCTCCCTGAAGAAGACATGAACCTGGGTGAGTGGTTCTTCATTGGATCCAAAGCTGAGTCTTTTCTAAAGGCAGTCTGATTTTATTATTTGTGTATTGTAAGATTTGTCTTCATAAAACATTTTTATTTTATTTTTAAAATACATTTTATTAAAATATAACTTATGTACAGTGAAATACACAAAAGTAAAGTAACATGGATCAATTCATTTTTTTTTTTTTTCTTTGCATTGTTGCCTCCCCATTCACTTCCACCCCTGGTAACCAACAAAGAAAGTTTCCTCCTGTATATAAAACTTTCCTTGAGTTTTTACAATAATGCACTAATACTATATTTGTCCTATGATTGACTTATTTCACTCAGCATAATGTAGTCCAAGTTCATCCATGTTATGCGGTCATAACACATTTTTAAATTTGCCACATTCAATTCTAAAATAATTCTCAATGCCACAGCACTCAAAACAATGAAAAGTAATTTAATGTTCACTGGATAAATGGTGGAGTCCCTGAATGGTGCAAATAGTTAATGCACTTGCTGCTGAACTTAGCTTCAACTGAAAGGCTGGAGGTACAAGCTTATCCAGAGACACTTCAGAAGAAAAGCCTGGTGATCTACTTCAGAATAATCAGCCACTGGAAACCCTATAGAGCACGGTTCAATTTTGAGCCACATGAGGTTGCAATGAATTGGAATCAATGCAACAGCAATTAGTAAAACTAGGATTAATGATGGATATTTTGATTTTGTTTTCAAAGTAAAAGGATTTGAAAGAAGAGTAGTTGTTTATTGTTCAAAAAGTACTCACACTTTATGTGGAAAGGTTGACTGAACCAATGTAGTCTTCTATTTCTGAATTTCCCAATCCTTATTTTAACTACCATTATTAATTTAAAAAGTAGTGTATATTTTTTTTTCAATAACATATCATCATAATGTTAAAGGAAAAGACAAGAAATATAAAACAACAAAATAACCCAAGCTCTCTCAGTAGTTGCTTGGGATTATTGAGGATTTCTTTAAATGTCATCAACATATTTCATGTGTTCATATTTATTTTATAATAAAATATTTAAATAGCTATATGTGATAGTTGGAGCTGTGTTTCAACTTGGCTGGACCCCAGTTCTGTGTGGTTGTTCCCATGATGGGATCAGATGACTGTGTTCTGAGTGGCCAATCTGCCCAAGGGGAGTTTCCCTAGGGGTGTGGCCTTCTTCCAAGATATCCAGGGACATCCTGGGAAGAGGGACATTCTTTGAGGGATTGGAACCCTGGTGTGCGGACTACAAACTTCCATGAGCGAGCAGCCCACTGCTCGGTCTGGAGATCTTGGATCCATCTTTTGTTGGAGTCAATAACCAGTGTACTGCCTGCCAGCCTTGAATTGCTCAGCCACCTGCGCTTGCAGAAGCTAAGGCTGCCGCCAGCCCAAAGTTTCCTCCAGGGACTTTGGACTTGCCAGCTTCTATACGTTTGTGAGCCATTTTCCTAAGATACATTTCTCTCTCTCTCTCTCTCTCTCTCTCTCTATCTCTCTCTCTCTCTCTCTCTCTCTCTCTATATATATATATACGCTTTGTTGGTTTTTGTGCTTCTCTAGAGAACCCAAACTAACACACTATGTAAATAGTTAAATTAAAGTCTTATTCTTATGTGCAGTAGGCAGAATAATGGTCTCCAAATGATCACCTCTTAATCCTCAAAACCTATGAATATGTAACAAAATATGTGATTAAACCAAGGATGTTGAGGTAGGGATATTTTCCTAGGCTATTCAGGTGGGCCCAGTGTAATCACATAGTTCCTTATAAAACCAAGGCAGAAGGAGAAGTTCAAAGAAAGAAAGAATTAAAAGTGAATGTGATGTGACCATAAACCAAGAAATGCAGTGGCCTCTAGAAGCTGGAAAATTCAAGGAAATACATTGTTCCCTCCTATCTTCAGAAGGAAAACAGCTCTGTAGGCACCTGGATTTTAGCCCTATAAGGTCCCTTTTGGTTATAACATCTCTAACTCTAAGATGATCATTTTTTTGTTGTTTTAAGCCACTAAGTTTATGCTAATTTCTTAAACCAGCAATAAGAAACTAATACACTATGGTAACCATCTTAATTCACCACTTGTCTGTCAGTTTGTCATACTGCGGTGGCTTGCATATTGCTCTGAGGCTGGAGTCTATGCCACCAGTATTTCAAAGACTTGGAAGAAAGAAGAGGCCATCCACTTCTCAAAGAATTGGCAAATGAAAACCTTATGAATGGCAGTGAAACACTGTCTGATATATTACTGGAAAACTTTATGAGTAGCTCTGAAACATTGTTTGATATAGTGTCAGAAGATGAATCCCTCAGGTTGAAAGTCACTCAAAATACGACTAGGAAAGAGCTGCCTCCTTAAAGTAGAACTGACCTTAATGATGTGGATAGAGAAAAACTGTCAGTGTCTCCATTTGCTGATGTGGCACTCAAAGTGAATAAACAGCTGCAAGCATCCATTAGTAATTGGAACATGGAATGTATGAAATATGAATCTAGGAAAATTGGAAGTTGTCAAAAATGAAAAGGAATGCATAAAGATTGATATCCTAGGTATTAGTGAGCTGAAATGGACCAATTTTGGCCATTTTGAACCAGATAATCAAATGCTCTTCTATGCCAGGAAAGGTAAATTGAAGAGGAGTGGTGTGGCATTCATCATCACAAAGAATGTATCAAGTTCTATCCTGAAGTACAATGCTGTCAGTGATAGGATAATATCTATATGCCTACAAGGAAGACCATTTAATAATACTATTAAAATATATGCACCAACCACCAATGCCAAAGATGAGGAAACTGAAGATATTTACCAATTTCTGCAGTCTGAAATTGACCAGTCAAGATGTGTTGATTATCATTGGTGACTGGAATGCAAAAGTTGGAAACAAAGATGAATCACTGGTAGATGAAAAATATAGGTGAAGAGAGGAACTCAGGCACGCCTAAAGCAGCAGGGCAGGAGAGCAGGAGAAAGGGGACTAAAAGGCCTAGGAATCTGGACAGAGGAGGAGTAAGTCACAGGGACCCAGGTAAGGGTGGTAAGAGAGGTTTCCAACAGGGAGGCAAACTTGTCCGTCAGTTTGTTCTACTGTGGTGACGTGTTGATGTGAGTTTTGAGGCTGAGTCACTGGTGTTTCTAACCCAGTGGGATGCACATGGTGCATAGGTATCATCCCAGCTTACAGACTGATCAGACTACGAAGAAGGAAGAGGCCATCCACTTCTCAAATAATTGGCCAGGGAAAACCTTATGAATAGCAAAGAAATACTGTTTGATACATTACCACGCAACTTTATGAATAGTCCAGTTAGGTTAGAAGGCTATCAAAATAGGACTGGGAAAGAGCTGCATCATCTGAGTAAACCCAGCCTTACTCCTATGGATAAGGTAAAGCTTTTGAGAACGTCATTGGCTGATGTGGCACCACTCAAATTGAACAGAAACAGCTGCAGACATCCATTAATCATAGGAACATGGAATGTACCAAATATGAATCTAAGAAAATTGGAAGTTGTCAAAAAATGAAATGGAACGTGTAAAGATTGATATCCTTGGCATTAGTGAGCTGAAATGGACTGTTTTTGGCCATTTTGAATCAAACAACCATGCGATCTACTGTGCCGGGAATGACAGTTTGAAGAGGAATGGTGTGGCATTCATCATCACAAAGGATGTTTCAAGATCTGTCCTGAAGTACAATGCTGTCAGTGATAGGAT